ACCTCTGCACTCCTGCAGTATAACCTCAGTGCCCCCCCCCCCCCCCCCCCCCCCCCCCCACCCCCCCCCCCCCCCCCCCCCCACCCCCCCCCCCCCCGCCAACAGCAAACGAAGCTGCCCTGCATCCCACCTAAATGCTCAGAGGACAAAGCAGGCCAACAACCTCCTTCAAACATTGGTAAACAAGAGGCCTGATGAGGAAATAAGGAGTCTGGGGTAGCTTAGCAAACAGCCATACCCCAAGCTGCACCCCTTATGAAACTAGCAATGAAGTCTTATTGTAATGCCTCTGTGCCCCCGCCAACAGGCCCAACCCAAACTCATCTCTGCCACCCTCAGGAGAGTGGAAAGGAAGAGCCCTCCCTGAAGAGCAGATGCCTATCCCATCTGCACAAAGGCAGACATGCGGGGTCCCTGAGGTAGGGATTGGGTCCATAATCACCTCTCCCGGTCCTGCAAGCCCTCCCCGCCACTGCTGCTCCCGCCCCTGATTCCTTCCTTGGATATCATGTCCAAACGCTGGTTGATCTTGGCAATGAGGGAGTCAGAATTGTCAGCGCATGGCTCTGGGCCATAAGAGGCCATGTGCATGGCAGGGCCTCCAGCTGCCAGGCCACCATCGCTGGCCTTGGCAGCCTCCCAGGAGGCTGGGCCATAGCTGTAGGTCGCTCCTGTGGTGACGCTGGTGTTCTGGGTGCCGTAATAATTGTAGTTTTCATAACCTGTCAGAGGAAGGAGGAACCAAGTCAGACCTCAAAAGCCGTGAGGCCCATCCATAGTGGACACGTCTGGAGAGTAGCACCCACTGCCCACCAAGACCAAGTGCTGCTGGCATCACTTCACACTGTGCATGTTACCTGCCAAGAGGCATCAGTAGGCCAGAGAGAGGGGCAGCCTTAGCTCTGAGCTATGGGTTTTCTGTGCCAGACCCTAGCACTTGCTCCCCATTCAAAGCCAGAGATGGCTGAGAGCCCAGGAATGGCAGCTTGTGCTGTTGACAGACCCACCACAAACCTGCTACTCCCACAACACAACCACAAGCCCTCTCTAACAAGCGCCCCCCCTGAGGCCAGCCCTGGCGCTCCTCAACACCTTGTGCTCGGAACAGCAGCACCGGCCATGTCCTCAGGGATAGAGCCAGGAAATCCCCACCCCCCACTCCCCTGCCACCAGCCCGACCTTCCTGGCCTTCAGAAAAGCTGTGAGTACAGGTAGGATGGGTAATTGGGGTGCCTGATCAGAGGACCACTTGCCTGCCTGCAGCCCCCGGAAGATCTTACCTTGCCAACTGGCCACACCAGTTCCATAGGCACCTTAGAGGAAAGGAAGACATACAAAAGCTTTGTTTGAAGAACGAAGATATCCAACCCCCCTGCCTCCAGACAGTTGTCACCTTGCTCCAGCCCTGGTGGCTGCAGCAGTGCTAAGGGAGACACTCTTGGTTGCCCAGCAGCAGGCTCATTCCTTACATAACACCACGTTAAGTAAAATCAAAGCTTCTCTCTCAGGCAAGCTGACTTTCCCCATCAGGCAAGGAAAAGGACACTGCACACTCTATGGGCAGAGCCCTTGCAAAGGGCCAGTCTTCACCAGGAGCCAGAGCTCAGGCACTGCCAACTACACTGGGAGCGCATCCAGGGAAAATCACATCCTCAACGCAACTGAGCAAGGGGACGATATGGGCCAGGAAAGACCTGGACAGCCTCCTCCTGGGACACATGGTGAAGGGCAGAAAAGTGGACCCATCCCCAACTGTGCTAGGGACAGGTCCCGAGCTCAGAAAACAAAGGAAGCCCGCATGCCCTGCAACAGGGGCTGGCAGAAAGCAGAAAATCTCGCCAACAGAGAGCAATCCTGCTCCTCCAAACCAGCTGAGCATCATGATCCAGACTCTAGAATGGGGACGAGCAAGAGGCCACCAAGCCAAATCTAGCCCACTGCCTGTTTTGTACAGTCCTTGAGCTAAGAATGGGTTTTTAAAAAATTTTTTAATTTGAGGTTATTTAAAAATGGTCAGGGGGAAAAAAGTTCAAAAGAATATTCTATGACATACAAGTACGAATTTTGACATGAGATGCATCACATACATTTCTCAAAACTCATGGAATAATACAACGCAAAATGAAAATTAATATAAACCATGGACTATAGTAAACAATAATGTCTCAGCATTGGTTTATTAACTGTAACAAACATATCATATGAACGCAAGATATTAATAGGAAAAACTGCTAGAAGTGGAGCTGGGGTGGATATAAAGAATTCCACATCCTATCTGCTGAATTCTATAGATCTAAAGCTGTATCACAGAAAAGAAAAACCTTTGATTACGCCTTCAGCTATTTAATTAGTATTTCATAACCCATGAAAATTATGATATTTAAATTTCAGTGTCCATAAATAAATACTGCCACATAGCCACGTACATTCATTTAAATATCTGTGGCTGATTCTGCATTACAGAGACTGTGTAGCCAACAAAGTCGGAGGCATTTACTGTCAGATCCTTTAGGAAAAAGGTTTGCTGTACCCTGGGCTGCTACCTCCCCTTAACTCTGGTGAGCTCTGACTCTGCCAAGCTGGAGCCTGAGGTGAAAGGGAAGCCCATGCCTCAATCCCAAAGCAGGACCCACTTACCCTGGGTGTTGGCAGGTCCAGCACTCCATGCCCCATAGCCTGTGAAAAGAAAGCCCTATGAGTTGACACAAAAGAGAACAGGTGCTTTCAAGGTGCTCTGAACTCTGAAAAACCTAAAGGGATTTCCTTTTAAGAGTTCAGTGCCAGCCTTACAGGAAGGCAGCGTAACCACAACACCACCCGCCTAAGAGCCACCCCACAGCTCACTGACTTCATCATCACCACATCCGCTCTGGCTAACATCAATGCAAAAGAAAAGCGGGGGAAGGGGCACTGGCTTGGAAGTCAGCTCTACCCACTGCCTGCTGCGGACCTCATCCCTCCAATTCTCAATCTGAAACTGAGGATGACACAGGACAAGCTGCCCAGCATTAGGGCACAGTCACCTGACCCCTTTGGCCCAGCCACTATGCCTCTGGGAAACAAGCTCAGACAGCCGCCACAAGTACCCCATAACTGGAAATGAACTTGGGAATTTGGTGACTTAAATTGCGCCTCCCTAGGCCTCCTTGTGACTTTAAACGCTGCTGCGGTTTGCCCTCTGCTCACCTCTTAAGGCTACACCCTCCCCTACCTCACACCACGCAGCCGTGCAGCAGAAGGTCAAAGTGCAGATTCTTTTTTTTTTTTTAAATGACCAGTAAAAGGATCTTAACCCTTGACTTGGTGTTGTCAGCACCATGCTCAGCCAGTGAGCTAACCGGCCATCCCTATATGGGATCCGAACCCGGGGCCTCGGTGTTACCAGCACCACACTCTCCCAGTGAGCCACAGGCCGGCCCAGAGTGCAGATTCTAACAGCAGACGACCAACCTCAGGGCCCTGACCACTTCACTGTGAGGTACTGGTCTAAGTGGCATAAACTATTCACTTAATCTCAAAACACACCGAGACAGAAGAAATCAGGGAGGCTACTTAACTGAGCCTGAAAAGTTTTCAGCAAGTAGGAAGTGGGGGAGGAGGCTCTCCAAGCCAACAGTGAGACAAGATTACTAGCAGAAACATCTGGTGGGAAGGAACATACAGAATGGTGAGATCTAGCTAGACTGCAGAATGTCGGCATAGCCAGGCTAAGACCCCACCCCCACCCCTCCAAAGAACCCTGTAGACACCAAAAGCACACTGTACATGGTCCCACCTCAGGACCTTTCTATTTAATTCCTGCTGAGGGGGACCCTGCTTCACTGCCACCTCTGAAGATACATGCCTTCTCCAGCTGGGGCAGCCAGGATCGGACCACTAGCTTCTCTGCACCCAGAGAGTCCTACCCCGCATTTCCAACAGTTTCCTGTGGGCAAACTTGGCTCACAGCACAGGGCAAAGGCTTCCAAGAATGGTCTCATTCCGGAGACCAGGAGCACGTAGCTCGAGAAGGTCAGCCTTACTGCAGGCAGGCACTGAAGGCAAATAGGGAAAAGGGACGTTCCCTCCTAAACAGCTCCTTGGCCCCTCCAGGCAAGCCGCACCACAAGGTGCTACCTGAAGGAGACCGGCCAATTTATCACCAGCTCCAAGGCACATCAAATCTCCAGCTCTGCACAAAAAGATACCCAGCACCTCATCCTAGGCCATCACTGCCTCCTACGGCCCGCACGCGAGGGGTACACAGCAGACGTCGGGTGAGGCTGACCCCTGCAGAGACCGCATCTAACCCCGCCTCGCTACACCGCCAGGCTTCCGCGACCGCGCCTTGGACCACGTGCGCCGAGCGGAGGCCCCGTCGAGCCCCGCATGCCCTGGACAGGCCCAACGGCCCTGGGAGAGGTAGAGCCCGCGCACGGCCGCAGACCCCGCCCCCAGTACCGCCATTTTGTGTCGTCTCCGGAAGGGGAGGGCGGCACTGCGAACCGCCGGGGTCGCCAGGGCTACGGGCAAAAGCTGCCGGGGCGGCCCACTGCATCCCCGCAGCCTCGGCCCGAGCTCTGTTCACCCCTCGGTCCGCACCCGCCATTCCGCGGACGCCGCTCCCCGGGGATGACGGCACCGAAGCCGAACGAACGGCGCGCGCTCCCTGGCTGCCTCTCGGCATCCGTGCTCGGGCCGTAGGCCCCGGCACGCGGCCCTATGTGCGGCGGCGGCCTCACGGCACCTTCCCGTTCTGCCCCGCTCCAAGTAGCCGATACTCACCTCCGTAGCCCTGCTCCATGTCTTCGGCGCAGGCCGCCAGCGGCCCCCTTTTCTAGGACGCCGCAGTGCGCATGCGTACAACGCACCGCCCGCCGCTCCCTGCCGGAAGGCGAGGCGCGTCACTACCCCGCGCGCCACCATTGGCTGGCCTCCACGGAAAGCCCGCCCCCGTGGCCCCAGCAAACATTCCAGGTCGCTCAAGTTAGGCGTCCCGGCATCTCGGGACTTGTGGTCCGGCCGAGGTGTCGCGAGGCCTGGCCAGCGCGCAGGCGTACCCGCCGCCCCGCGCGAGACGCACACTGACACAACGGAGGAGATGGGGACGGAAAAGCTTTATTAGGCTCGGCTTCCAGCCTCGGCCCCATGGGCCGCACCGGCCCGGGTCACGGGGCGCCCCCACCGCCCTCCTCGTCATCCTCCACGTCGAGGCCCGGGATGCCGCGGATCTGGCGCTGGAGCGCCCCACCTAGCAGGGGCATGGCGCCCTCCTCCTCCTCCGGGGGGGGTGGCGGGGGCGGCGACGCGACGCTGGGGGCCGGCTCCGGGGGCACAGGGGGCTGCGCCGGTGTGCCCTCCACACCCTCCGCGATTCCTGCCGCTTCGCCCAGCGCGCCCTCATCCAGGGCGCCGCCCTCGCTCTCCTCCTGCTCCTTCTCCTCCTCCGGGCTGTCGGTAAAAGGGTTCTCGCCCTGCAGGGAGGGGCACGGACAATGAAGGGAGGGAGGGAGGAACCAAGGGGAACGGCTGGGGACAGGGACGGGGCCGCGCCTCACCTTCAGGTAGCGCTCCAGCTTCTTGCTGATGAGCTTATTGTTGAGGATACTGCGGGCCACCATGAGCGAGGACTTCTTGGACTGCTCCATCATGAGCTGCGGGCAGGTCAGGTGGGGCTGGAGAGGTTGCTCTGAGCACTCCCACCAGCCCCCCGCCTCCCCGGGGCTCCCCCACCAACAAGACTGGGAGGGTCTACACGTTAAGTGTGTGTTGGGTACAAGCATAGAGCCACGACCTGATCTCATCTTTCCTAAAGGCTCCTTCCACACCACTTATTGTGTGGGATTGATTAAAGACATAGCTCTGTCTTTACTGTAGGAATCTGATTTGCTTCCATAAAATCTATAAACAGTGAATAAGTTAAGAAACCTACTAAAAGCCAAAAATGTGCAACCCATAACAAGGAGCCAAGTGCCCTAACAGGCCAGGGGCTCCTCAGGATCAACAGGATGGATATAAAAGGAAGAACGCAAATGTCAACAGTATATTTAAATGACATACCTCCTTTTAACCCATAGGATTCCAAGGATGAAGAATTATACCCCGTAATGGCAAGGTTGAAAAGAGACACTTCTATTCTGCTGTTTGGGAGGGTCAAATGCTTACACATTTTTTGGGACGTAGTTTAACAAAATGTATCAAAAGTAAAGATTTCTCTAATTCCTTCGCAGAGCCTATCCTAAGTGTGAGAATTGGAAACATGTACGTACACTGGCTGTAGTGATGAAAAATTGGAAAGCACCTGAATGTTCTTCCGTGGAGAAGTGGTTAGATAAATCGTACATTTAAAAGAACATGCAGCCCTTAAAATCTGGCTGATCTCACGATAGCATACCCAAGCCATTTTCTCTGGAAGGACTTACATCAACACGCTGGGTCATCTCCTCAGTGGTGGTAGTACAGGCAAATCTCACTTTCATCATTATACAGCCAGAATCAGAGAGGATGATAAATTGGGGTGGGAAAGACCGCCTCCAGGAACCCTATGGGCCTCAGCCAACTCTATTCACATGTTTCAGAAAGCCATCTCGCTTGATGTTTTTACTCCCTTCCCCACCTTCACTTTTTCTTTTTTTTCCTACTACTCATTTTTTTCCTACTACTGGGGGCAAATATTAACAGACCTCATGCATGCTCATAATGAGTTAAAGATACACGAATAGGATACCACTACAGTAGTTACCCTGTAGTTGCTGTTCCTCAGCAACCCTCCCTCACTTGCCAGCACATTCTCTTCCTCGCCCAAGCACCAGAGGGACACACCACCACTTCTCCTCACTGAGGCACATGTACGTTGTTTCCGGGTTTTAACCACAATAACTAAACAACACCAGAGTAAACTTAAACACTTCCATGCTGGTGCTTTTAATTCTAACCAAACAGGTCTCCCAAAGTGTTAGTAACCAATTATGCTGCAAAAAAAGTTGCAAGTCCTGCTCCCTCCTTCTATATTAAAATGATGAACTGGTTGGTCCTCCTACCTGCTCACAAGAACTGATGTTACTGCTGGATATTTTTGCTGTTGGATGAAAGAGAAAAGGATATATGCTGCCTCCTATGGCATTTCCCTGTCCACCAGGGTCAGTGCTCTGATATGCTTGCCCAGTTCTGCTATGAAGTGAGCTCCTCTTTGACTTCAGTTTCCTGGCTTGCTAAGGAAGGCTTCCTTTAACCTCAAGGTAAACAAATAATCTTCTAAATTTTTTTCTGATCTTTGTGTATTTTCCACATTTAAATTTTCTGGAATTTAATATATGATATGAGGTAGGGATACAACTTCTTTTCCAGAAATTTATACAATAAGCCATTATTTCCCTATTGAATTGCCATACAGGTCTACAATCCCTTATATATAAATATGAAATCCTAAACGCTCTAGAAAGCAAAAGTTTTCCCCAAAAACTCACTTGGTGACAAAACATGACCTGACGTTACATTTTTTATATGCCAGCTTTATTCATCCCACTTACACAAGTCATTTTAAGAATTACTGATGACTCAACTACAAGGCACTTTCCCATACCTTGCAGGAAAGGTTAGTGATCATACCATAGTCTTTGGGGGGGGCGGGGGCTGGCCAGTAGGGGGATCTGAACCTGTGACTTTGGTTATCACTACCATGCTCTAACCAAGTGAGCTAACTGGCCAGCCCTCCATTATTGTCTTTCTTTTTTTTTTTTTTTTTTTTTGTCTTTTGTCTTTTTCCATGTCGGGCAATGGATCGCAACCCTCAGTGTTGCCCCCGCACCGGACCGGGGACCGGCAACGGGATCACAACCCTCGGTGTCGCTCCTGCGCCTCGCTCAGCCAGTGAGCAGGAACCGGTCTACCGGTCTGTATGTGGGATCCGAACCCTCGGGCGGGAGCGCCGCCGCGCTTCCCAAGCAGCGCACTTATCCAGTGCGCCACCGGGCCAGCCCCCATTATTGTCTTTCTAAAACCCTAAAATTAATTCAGAAACATTTGATCCTAAGGTTTCAGGTAAAAGACCTGTACTAACCTTAACAAAGTTCTAAAACATAGTAGGATCTTTTGCTAGACTCTATTCTGGTTCTACTGTTTTTTTTTCTTTGTCAATATCACTTTTTTTTTGTATTCAACTGCAGAGACTTTATAGTAAGTTTTAATATCTGCTAAAGCAAGTTTCTGAACTCTCTACTGCCCTTTGGTATAATCTTCTTGGCTATTGTTAGACTTAATTCTACAATGTAAAACTTTTTTTTTTTTTTGTCCTTTTTGAGACCGGCCGCACCGCGCTCAGCCAGTGAGCGCTGTGAGCACACCGGTCATCCCTCCATAGGATCCGAACCCGCGGCAGGAGCGCTGCTGCGTTCCCAGCGTCGCACTCTCCCGAATGTGCCACGGGCTCGGCCCTACAATGTAAAACTTTTAAGATAATTTCATTCAGCCCACCTCCCTGACCTAGATTTTGACTGGAACTGCTCTGTCTGCATTAATTTGAGCACTGGTTTTTGTTTTGTTGTGATATTATGTCTCCCATCTAAGAACACTATGTTCCTCCATTCATCGAGGTCTTCTTTCATGCTGCTGAAGTTTTTTTTTTTTTTTCCTTTTTGTCTTTTTTCGTGACCGGCAACGGATCGCAACCCTCAGTGTCGTGCCCCTACCGGACCAGGACCAGCAACGGGATCACAACCCTCGGTGTTGCGCCCGCACCTCGCTCAGCCAGTGAGCGGCCAGTCTGTATGTGGGATCCGAACCCTCGGCGGGAGCGCGCACTGTAGCAGTGCGCCACCGGGCCGGCCATGCTGCTGAAGTATTTGTAGTTTAAGATCCCATCTTTCTTCTTAAGTCTATTCCTAGTTATTTCATACATTTTGTGATTATTGTGAGTAGATTTTTTCCCCATTTATGTTTCTAACTGGTTATTACTAGAATGGAGAAAAATAATGACTACTTTATGTATGTTATCTTGAATCCTATCCCCTTACCAAATTCTATTAATTTTAAGAACATTTTACTGGAGTCATTCAGCTTTCCTAAGAACATAATCACATTATTTGCATATAAAGAGAGTTTTCTTTTTCTTTTTTCAGCGGCTGGCCAGTACAAGGATCGATCCCTGAACCTTGATGTTATCAGCACCATGCTCTAACCAACGGAGTAACGGTCCAAAGAGAGTTTTCATTTCTAGTTTTATACCGATAGTGTTGCTAAATTTCTTACTAAATCATCCTTGCATTCTAGAAACAAACCCCACTTATAATGTATTATATATTTGAATCACTGCCAGATTGGTAATTACTAATATTTTATTTGGCACTTCTAATCTAGTTTCATCTTGATATTATCTTTATCAGATTTTTAGAATAAAAGTTAAAAAGGTTTCCCAAAAATTGATTAAAGGGGCTGGGCAGTTAGCTCAGTTGGTTAGAGTGTAGTGTTGTAACAGCAAGGTCAAGGTTCAGATCCCCATACTGGCCAGCAGCCAAAAAATAAAATTTAGGACAGACTTCTACACTGGCAGTCTGAGGAGCTCCATGGAATCACTCTCTAGTGAAACTGATAAAAACTACTTAAAAACAGTGACTAAAGTCTCTGGAAATGTTCTTAAGAACATACAGCAAATAAAGAAACATTTAATGAGAAAAAGTAGTAAAACCCAGTCTAAGAAGAGCACAAGTTGTGATGTTTGAAATATGACCTGTTGCCTCTCCGCCTCCCTCAGCTCAATGTGATGGAAACTCCACTCCTGATGGTACAGCCAAGAAGACAGGCCTCCCCTCTACCCAGCTCATCACAGTTGCCAGTTAGGGTATCTTCCCAGGAGGAACAGGACACCAGCATTTCTCATCTTGCCCCCAGCTATCTGCTGAGGCTGAGTTCTGGGCAAGAACAGCTGAAAGGTGACAGCTCCTTTCTTCTACCCAGCCCCCATATGTGGATTGGAGGCTTGACCTTGGCTGTGGCATACTGAGAACACTGGGACCCACATAGCCCTGACTTGTGCATAATGAGGGGGTCCCATGGCAGGAGAGGCAAACCAAGACCAGAGGCTACAGCCTGCTGTACCTCCTCCCCATATCTGTCCTAAAGCAGCAGAGTCACTCAGAGAGAAGCACTCCCTTGTCCCTATCCCCAGAGCTTGGTTCAGAGATCTTGCCCAGTGGGAGAGCCAGGCCTAAAAACACTGAGCTCCCAATCTCTTCCCAAAGGAACTTACTTCATTTGCAAGAGTGTAGGACTAAGGATTCTCTCAAACAATGGAGGGTGTATAGAAAAATTTTAAAAAGACTTGATAGTAGATTTGACAGAGATATAAGCTAAGCCATAGGTCAGCTAAGTTACCAGAAAGAACCAGTAAAACAGCTACGAATGGCTTCCTTGGTTTCAGAACAAATCTCAAACAATAACCTCAAAAACTATCCTTGTAAAGAGCCCAAATTTAATTGGATCAGACTGGGAGGCAATTTAAGGTACCAGGACACTGTTGAAAACAATAGAGCAATCAGCCAGCAGTTAGGGGAGTTTAACACCTGAGTGTGGTCTGAGAACGCACACAGAGACCTGTTCTCATCCCAGAGTGACTGTGCACATGCCCATGGCTTCCTCCTCCAAGGCATAACACCAGAGC